GAAATCCAGTGTAACATGGGCGCTGGGAGGAAGGGTGGCCTTTTACTCATTCCAAAAAGAAATAGTTATCAAACACCTATGATGTCTGCCAGGCACCATGCCAGGCATTTTGACACTGAAGAAACAAAGCCACCACATAGTCCCTGTGCTCACAGAGCTGCGCAGGGGAGGCAGACACAAACACGTAAACACCAACAATAAATAATTACAAATTGGGCTGAGTGCTGCGAAGACGGGAAAGTGTAATTAGCCTGTGCCTACCTCTCCCTGGCCCCAGAGGCCTGGCCTCATTACAGAACACCCATCCCTGCCCAACCTCCCAGCATGCTGCTTGTCTGGGACCGTGGATCGCACTGGCAGCCAAGTACCCAGCAGAGTAAGAGGGTTCACTGTAGTTTGAGGAACATTTGTTGAACTGAACTGGAAAAAAAAAAAAAAAAAGAAAAGAATATGTAGTACAACCTAATTGTACAGGCCATTGAGGCCCAGAGAGGCCAAGCATTTGGCCCCAAACCACATAGCTGGTGAGTGGCAGAGCCCCAGACCAGAAACCAGGTCTCCTAAGTCCAGGTCCAGTGTTCCTGCCACATCCCAGGCTGCCCACTGGACAGTCTTGAACCCTTTCACAGCCCCCAGGAATCTGCAGCCTCCTGGCCCATCTCAGATGCCTGCTTTGCAGGTCAGCACTGTCCAATAGGACCGGATGTGATGATGGAATTGTTCTGTATCTGTGCTGTTCAACTCAATCACCTGACACCACTCAGCAGGTGCAGGGAAAAGTGGCCAGTGTGGTGGGGTCGGGGGGTGGGAGAATGGGCAGGGCTGTGGGAGAAAAAGGCACAGTGGAGGTGAGACCCAGCAAGGAAGAAGGATTGGGTTTGACATTTCAAGGAATCTTCCATCCCCAAAGCCACGAAGAGCCCCTAAAGGATACTCTACACAGTAAGGACATGCCTTGATCAAAGCCTCTGTGGGACCCCAAGGGTGTCACTGCTCCTCTGAGCTCTACAGTACCTCCGACACTCCAGCAACACCAGCTGGAGTGGTCATTTATTCATTCGTTGTCATTCTTTGTCAAAACCCCACACAAACAATTTCTCACACCCGCAGCTCATAATGCTGGCCCAGCCTGAAATACCCTTCCCCTCCCCTGCCTGGACAGCTCTTGCTCTTCCTTCAGGCCTGAGCTCACTGTCCCCGTCTGGGAAGGCATTGTAGACACCCTCATCTGGGTCAGTGCCTCTTCCATGTCTCCATAGCCTGCCTGGCATGTGGAGGAGGCTTAATTTCTCTGTCTTTGCTATTAGTTCTCCTTTCTTGACCCTTCCCACACCTACACTTACATCCCCAATCCCCAACTCTGGGACCCTCAGAAATTCTGAGCACAGGTGGGGCACAGTGGCTCGTGCCTATAATCCTGGCACTTTGGGAGGCCGAGGCAGGCAGATTGCTTGAGGTCAGAAGTTCAAGACCAGCCTGGTCAACATGGTGAAACCCTGTCTCTACCAAAAAATACAAAAGTTAGCCAGGCACGGTGGCGCGCACCAGTAATCCCAGCTACTCAGGAGGCTGAGGCGGGAGAATTGCTTGAACCCGGGAGGCGAAGCTTGCAGTGAGCTGAGATCACACCACTGCACTCAAGCCTGGGTGACAGAGTAAAATCCTGTTACAAAAAAAGGGGGGGCTAGGTACAGTGGCTCACGCCTGTAATCCCAGCACTTTGGGAGGCCAAGGCAGATGGATCATGAGGTCAAGAGATCAAGACCATCTGGCCTTTGAAACTCCATCTTTACTGAAAAAAAAAAGATTTAGTTGGGCATGGTGGCATGCGCCTGTAGTCCCAGCTACTCGGAAGGCTGAGACAGGAGAATTACTTGAACCCAGGAGGCAGAGGTTGCAGTGAGCCAAGATCATGCCACTGCACTCTAGCCTGGGTGACAGGGCGAGACTCCATCTCAAAAAAAAAAAAAAAAAAAAAAAAAAAAAAAAAGAACTTCTAATCACATAGCCACAGTCTGCCAAAGACTCTCAGTCCCCAGCCTAGGTCCTCCCACTCCCAGGACTTGGCCCCTGGACCAGCCCTGCTCAAAGGGAAGATCCAGAGAAAAGGCCAGGAGTTGCTAACTTCATAAGGGAGATGGCACCAACCCAGATCGCCACCGTAGGTGGGGACATGCATTTAGAAGAGAAGATGGAAGATTGACAGGAACTTGAGCAGGCTCATCTGGGAAGGCTTCTTGGAGGAGGGGCCCTCCTTCCCATCGTGTCCTTCAGTAATACGAAGATTTTCCCCTGTAGATTCCAAACCCTTTGCTGGCTCCCCTGCCCAGAGAGTCCCTGTCTGTCTCCCCAAGAGTCACATCCTGCCCCAGAGCCTGACCCAGGCTAGGATGTGCCCACTGGAACATTCACCCAACAACTATATCTTGCCATCCAGCGTCTCCAGAGACCTGTTGCTCCACGGCCAGGAGGCCTCAGGCCAAATGGGGAGCAGGGCAAAGAGGAGGCACTGAAACTATGACACAGGGATGCCATTCTCATAAGGACATCCAGCTGGGCTGCAGGGGCACAAACCCTGTTCCCTCTGCCCCCACCCAGGGCAGAAAGGAGGAGCTCCAGGCCGGGACTCTGAGTGGGCAGGTGACTCCGAGAGGGACAGGAAGACAGTAAGACAAGTGAGAGAGAGCACGACAATCGAAAATACAGAGGAGGCGGATGAGAATGCAAGGGAGACAGACCACAGGTTGGGTGGGACTGACATGGAGAAGGAAATGGGAGGAGGAGAGAGAAAAAACAAGAAAACTCCCCCTCACTTCAAGACCAGTTCCAGGAGGCTCTGGCAGCCCAGCCTAAGCCTCTTCCCCATTCCTCGCCTCTAGCCAGCCCTTCCCCTCCTCTGCTCTTTCTCTGCCTCCTGGATCATCAGGATTGTGTCCTGTCACCAGTGACAGGGGAGTGGGATAAAGGGGATAGACTCAAGAGGCAGGAAAGGGAGATGCAGATTCCTGTCCCTGGACCATGTAAGGACTAGAAGGGCAGGGTTCTGGAATCCCAGAGGGTACGGGATACCCAGGTGTCATTTCTAGCTGGGGTTGTCCCATCCTCACCTGAAGCCACAAGCAGGTTTGTTTATTTGTATATCCAGGAGGGAGCTGGAGACTGCTTGGGTACCTAAACATCCTCAGAGAGACTGAAACCTTCCCCTAATTCCATCTCCCACCTCCCAACTCCTGCCAGGCCTCCTGCTTCCCTGGTTGGGGGTCCAAGCCCCCAGGTGGTTCAGGCTCTGTACCAATGCCAGGAGAGGGTGATGTCAGGCCCTCGGTGAGGGTGGAGGATGGCACTGGCTGGTACAGACAGCCCTGCTCAGAGACAGCAGCCTGGACCAGGACCCCCAGGGATGCTAGTTCCAGAGTAGAGGGAGTAGAGCGCCTCACTCCAACTGTCCAGGTTCCCATCCATCATAATCGGGTGACCTTAGACTAGGCACTCAAGCCCTCTGAACTTCCTCCTCTGTCAATTGGAGTGATGAGAATTAAAGCATCCACCTCAAGTGGTGGTTGTCGGGAGGATGGAAGGTGAGCTGGGGGAGGAAAGGAGACAAGGGGTGAGGAGGGGAGAGGGAGCAGGTAGGGCTGGGCTGTTTATGGAGTTTTGTTTATTTGGGGTTTTTTTGTGGCTGTTCCTGTTTGGCAGCCAGAGCAGTGACAGTCAAAGACATCTCTACCGACTGCACCCAAGGAAGACTGTCGGACCAGAAAGGAAGCAACAGGCAAGCCCCACCTACCTCCCCCAGCCCAAAGCCCCAGGCTAGCATGCCTTCCAGTCCTCTCCAAGGAGGTTAAGACATCCGCAAGGAAAGCCCCCTGGCGTGGGGCCCCAAAGGCAAGCCCTGCAAAGCCAGCCGAGGAGCCAGGGACTTGGCAATTAACCAAGACCTGTCAACTCTCAGGAGCTGACTGAGGCCAGAGGAAGGAAGCAAGAAATAGATTTCAAGTGCACAGGCACTTGCGAGAAAAAGGCATTCAGCTCCAAGAGAATTAGGTGGCAGGGCTGCCCTAAACTGCGCCCCAGACAGTAAGAAGGCAGCTTCCTTCTCTCACCCACTACCCTTCCTAGGGGTCTTAAAACTTAGAGGCTCAGATTAAAGAGCTCCTCGCCCCAACTGTCCAGGTTCCCATTTATCATAATCCTGTGGCCTCAGACTAGACACTCAAGCCCCCTGAGCCTCCTTCTCTGTCAGTTAGGGTGATGAGAATTAAAGCATCCACCTCAAGTGACGGTTATCAGGAGGATTGAGGAGCTAACTCCTGCAAAGCATCTGGGACATACCTAATGGATCAGCTGTTATTCTGGCCTTGGCAGAGCCCAGATGCCACTGCTGCCCCCTCCCTTCCCCACAGAGCACACAGGGGTGACAGGGTGGGGGGCAAGGTGCTGTGCTCAACCACATGCCATTCAGATACCAGACCAGAGTGAGGATGGTGGGAGGCCAAGGTGGCCCCACACGTAGGTGTTGAGTGGGGAGGGCTGCACACATCAGTCACCTACCAGTGCCTCGCTACCCTACCCAGCACCGGATCCTGGGATCAGGCTCAGGATGGACCCGTGGCCTCTGGACAGTGTCCTGTGCCCTTGTGAGCCAGAAGTGCCCAGTGTGTGAGAAAGATGTCTGCCCTGGGAGGCGGAGGCCCAGGGTGGTGATGTGACTGGCAAATGGTTGTCCCTCTCAGGGGCTGTCTTCCTCTGGGCCCAGAGGGGGCTGCTACCCCTTCTATCTCTGACCATCTGCAACTCTCCCAGACACACTCCTCTCTCTGCTCTGGCCCCTGCCACCGAGAGCAAGGGTGAGCCAGGTCCAGGAAAGACATGCAGAGCCAGCCACCAGGGCCAGAACATCAGGACCACCAGGCCAGGAAAGAAGACGCGGGACTGGGAGAGCTGGTAACCCCCTGGGGTGGAAGAGTGGGGTCTCAGGAACTGTGGGAAGGTAGGGTTTGCCTTGGTCTGTGTGGGCCTCTGCTGCCCTGCCAGAGGCTCTGTGGGGGCAAAATGGCGTCTTTTCTGTTTCTACTTCACAGATGGTGTAAAAGAGGTCAAAGGAGGCAGAGAAGAGAAAGAAGAATAGGGAGGAAAGAGTGTGAGGAAGGCAGGGATTCTCATTGCCCCAGAGCAGAGCTGCATTCGGCCATACCCATCGCCCTGCTAGACTCAGTGCCTGGAAAGTAGCACCATTGATTGAGGGCAACTTTGTCCCCTGTCCTCTACCACGTGCTTTGTACATGCTATCTCCCGTGAGGTGGGTGTTTTCAAACGAAGACAAAAGTCAAGTAACGTGCCTGAGATCACATGAGTGGTAAGCAGCCCAGCTGAGTCTTGAACCAGGTCTCACATTTCCAATGCTGAGAGCTCCTTGGCCTTGACCATCTATGTCCTCCCAGCCTCTGAGACAGTGGGGTGTACACAGTAGGTCCTCAGTCAATGCCAGTTAACGTGAAGGAAGGAAGGAAGGGAGGGGGGTAGAGGGAAAGGGGAAGATAAGCCAGGGAGACTCTTTGGCAGCTAGAAAATAAATCATAAGTGCTGTTTTCCAGTGCCAGGCTGGCACCGTGCCCAGGATAGCTGCCCTACACTCAGGAGCTCAAGGCCTATGCTTGCCTCATCTTTTCCAGAAGTATGTGAGCCCAGATACGTCAGCCTTCAGGTATGCAGTGAGGTCTGCGGTGAGGCGATCTCTCTTCTCTCCTTCCTCCTTGAATGGCCTTCCTTTTGCCAACTCCCCACCCCCAACCCACCCAGCCAGCCCAGCCTTTGCCCCCTCCCCAGAGCTAGGCCTGCTTTCTTGGGGGCAGGGGGCTATGGACCAGCCCCCTAAGCAGTGCAGATCCCTGTGGGGAGGGAGACCTACATGCTGCTGGGGGAGGGGCGGGAGCACCACATCATCCAACAGGTTGGTCAGGCTGGGAGGCGTCCCGCCCTCCTGCAGCTAATGAGCACTGTGCGACAGGTGTCTGCTCCTCAGTCCCCAGCCTGCCCCAGCTGTGACCAGAGCAACCAGAGCCCGCCACCCGCTGCACTCCCAGGCTCACTCACTCAGCCCCCGGGCCCTCCTGCTTCCGGCCGGGGGCGCCATGGCCTGCCGCTCCTGCGTGGTTGGCTTCAGCAGCCTCAGCAGCTGTGAGGTGACCCCGGTGGGCAGCCCCCGGCCTGGAACCTCCGGATGGGACACCTGCGGGGACCCCGGGCTGGGCTTCAGCTCCCGCAGCCTCACAGGCTGCTTGTCGGCTGGCACCATCTCCAAGGTGACTGTGAACCCCAGCCTGCTGGTGCCCCTGGACCTCAAGTTGGACCCCGCTGTTCAGCAGCAGAAGAACCAGGAGAAGGAGGAGATGAAGGCCCTCAATGACAAATTTGCCTCCCTGATTGGCAAGGTGAGCACAAGTGGGGGGGTCCCAAATATGAAGGGCTGCCAGGCCCGGGCAGGTAGCCAAGCTCTGTGTTTTCCTGAGCATCGATCACTGTGCCCCACCCCTGCACCCAGCCAATGGGGAGATGGCACTGCTAACCCGGCAGCCTAGCTCTGAGCAGAGGCTGGAGGAGGGAAGTCCCTGATCCATCCTGGCATGTGGGGAGAAAGGGACCGCAGGATGGCCTTTGAGGGATGTCTTGATAATATGCTGCATGACCTGGGGTCACCCACCACCCAGACAGGGACTGGGAAGGACCACCTAGTATGGCCAGGGGTGCCCTCTTGCAGGAATGGCTGATGGAGACGTGCTCTGCGGTCCTACTCTGAGGCAGGTGGACAGGGGAGATGGCCTCCCAGGCTCCACGCTCCTGTTTATCCCTCAAGCCTCTGGTCCCGCAGCATCTCTCTCAGCTGCCCCAGTCAGAAAAGCCAGCAGGATGGACGGGGCGTGTGGGGCTGCTGCCCAGACTGCCGCAAGTGAGGGTGCAGCTCGGGTGTCAGGAGATAGGAATGCAGGGGACAATGCCTCAAGTCAGAACAGGGTAGCCAGCTGGGCCTTCCTGCACCCTGAACCCCGCCTGACTGCAGGGAGTGTGGCCTCAGCATCACAACCACCCTTCCCAGACTCCACTGTCCATGGCCTGCAACAGGTCTGGGGTACTCGTGTCCATCTCTGCTCCCAGGGCAAGGGAGCTCCCAAGGAAGTCCTATCCACTTCCCAAATCTGTTCTTTACTCATCTTCTCCAAGAAACTCCTCCTGACTCTGCACCCTCCTGCACCCTCAAGAATAATCATGACAGTATCAGCTGCTATCGGTTAATTGCTTACAATGTGCCAGGCACTGTGCTGATGCTTTTCACATTTATCTGTATTTCTCTCAACAACCTTATGGGAGAAGACAATTTTATGTCCATTTCACAGATAAGGAAAACTGTACATTTCTGACCCTCCCAGTAAACCAGAGGTCCAGCCTTCAGCCCCTGGCTCCATCCTTGTCTGCTCTTGGCCTCTGATTCTGTGTTCCTCTGCACATTGCTGGTCTCTCCCATGAAGTGGGAGCTCACAGGGGGGGGCAGAGGGAAGAAAGTAACATGCACTGAGCATCTACTTGTGCCTCGCCCTCTGGAGGAACTTTGCAAATGCAATGACATTCAAGCCACACGGCTACCCTGCAGTTGTTGTTATTTTTCCAACCGTGCAGATGAGGAAACTGAGGACCAGCAAGGCTAAGTGCCTTGCCCAAGGTCACACAACCAACAAATGGTAGTCTGGATTTGAACTCAGGTCTGTTGAGACACGAAGTCAGTGGTCTCTGTGGTGGGAATCTTTTCTTTCCCTCTTCCATTCATGTGCCTAGACCAGAGTTTCATCATCCACACCTGGGGTACCCCTGGGTACCCAGAGGGGAAGGACCACTGTCCACTGAGGCAGAACATCCCTTCCCCCAGCCCTAGCTGCACAGAGCCCTGCATTGCTGGGCTGGTTCTCCCTCTAAGAGCAGCCCAGCTGCCCTGGGGAGGCAGGTCCCTACAGAGCCAGCTCCTCACCAAACCCAGTTTAATCCTTTAGAAGGAATGCTTCACTGAGCTATGTAATTTGGCTCAGATGGGTGATTTTTCTCCCTCAAACACCAGCACTGATATCACCCTGTGCCACTGCCATGGGGATGGGGGGGATGTAAGCCCAGGGAGGAGGCCCTCGGGGTTGGGGTCCTGTGCCTAGAGACCAGGGCAATGCCCTTGAAGTTCTTTAGCAGAATTGGAGCCTCCCAACCCTCAGCCTTGACCTTGAGATGGGGTGCCCTTCAGGGTGGGACACAGGGAGCTGTGGGTACCGACCCTGTGGGGGCCCTGGTTGCAGGAGCTCTGCCCCAAGGGGTCCCAGCTGACCCTTCAACTCTGTGAAGAAGATCTATTAGCCCCACCCTCCTTGCCTCCTTGTGGAGGCTGTGAGGGCCCAGATGGAAGCAGGCAGCGGTTAAGATGTGAAATCTGGAGCAGCATTGCGGGGTTTAAATCCCCGTCCACCACTGACCAGTTGTGTTATCTCGGGCAGATTATTTAATCTCTCTGTGCCTCAGCACACATTAGGTTAATGGGCTCATCAGAATCAAATGGGAGAATTTTTGAAAAGCAGTTAGAACATACCTGGTACATGTTAAGTGCATTATAACTGTTAAATAAAAAATTAAATAAATGGGTCTGGCCCAGGGAGCAGCTAGAACCCAGTTAGCCCCTTCCAGGCAGGAGCATGGAGAGGAGGTGGGGAGAGGCCCCCTGCGGGATAGAGGAGTGAAGGGACTCAGTGGGCAGGGGGTACAACGCAGGGCTGTTGAGCAATGTATGGACTTAGAGGAAGGACTGAGGTGAGATGCCATGATCAGTGGGCAGGGGCTCTGGGCAAAGAGAGGAGAGGGGTGGGGGCCCTCTGAGGAACTGAGAGGAACCAGGGAGCAATGAGGAGGAGCAGAGACTTTCAGGAGGTGGCAGAGGCCCTGGAGCAGTGTGGTTTCTTCAACTTGCTGGCTGCGTTTTCCTGGGCAAGTCATTTACCCTCTCTGTGCCCCCGATTCCTCTGCTCTGCTCTGCTCTGCTCTGCCAGTGGCCCTGAGCTCATCCCAGCGGAATGACTGGCAAGGTCACAGTCATGAGATGAAGGGGGATGAGGAGAAGCAGCAGCAGCAGAAGAGGCCAGGGGAGGCAGGGAGGGAGCAAAGCCGACCTCCAGCAGAGGCTGCTGGCTGGGCTTCTTGCCTTCGCGCACACATGGACAACAGAGGGGATGGAGAGGGAGGCAAGAGGCAGGACTGCCTGAGGTCATCCTGGGGAGGCTGTAGAGAGGGAACCCATGAGCAGTGGTGAAATGCCTGGAGACAGAGGGACGGAGACAATGTCTTCACCGAGGCCTGTGTGACCTCTGGAAGAACTGAAGTCAGCCATCCCCCTGCCTGTATGCAGAAAAGCCCAAACCAGCCACTCCTGATGAGGCTGTGAGGCTCCCTGGCCAAAGCCAACGTCTGGCTGAAGGCCGGGGATTCAACGGCCCCCGCTGAGGAACACTACCTGTGTGGCCCAGAGGCACTCCCCTATAAGCTGGGGACCTGCAGCCTCTAAGATGTCCAGCCTGTCTCCCTCCAGGAGCTCCAGTTTAGACTGCTCGGTTTCCCCTACAAAACAGGTCTCTCCCCTAACCTCAGCCCCAACCTGGCCCTACTTTTCAACTGGGCTTCAGTTTCTTCACCTGTAAAATGGAGAGGTCCCTGCTACAGCTGCTACGGTATGATCTAAGGGCAGAGGGCCAGGCAGAGCAGAGAGGAGGAATCAGAGGTGAAGACTCGACAGTCTTCCTGGGTTGGAGCAATTAACCTGGCACCTCTCAGGGCGCCAGGATTATCAGCCCTCCCTAGGTGTTTGTTCTGAGAGGGAGGAGCCTTTCTACAAGGAAGGTCCCAGGTGGGGGATGAGTTTCCATCCCCGCCCACAGAGACAACCAGAGACTCCCCCAAGGGCAGCAGAAAACAGGGGGCTGTCCCTAATCCCCTAAGACACAAATGCCTTCTAGCTGGACTGGCTGGCCAAACACACACCATGTTCCAGCGAGCTAGTGCTGAAGCATAGGGAATTGAGGTTAGACAGTAGGAAGAACTTCCTGGTGTGAAGATTTATCTGCTGCTCATGGGTGGAGGAAGGAGCCTCACATCTCTCCTCTCACTCCACCCTCAGTGTAAACATGGAGCTCCTGCTTGTCAAAACGGAGGCAAGGTGGGGTGAACAGATACCTGCCCCCCCAACGCTCCCTCTCACACACACAAGGCAGGGCAGAAACCCTCTTGACCTCCATCCCTACTGAACCTGTTTGGCTGTGAGTACAGCAGAGAGCAGGATTAAGGTTGGCTTCGAGTAGAATCTACCAGTACAGGTACGCAGGGGAATGGCAGCCCACAAACACCGTCAAACGCCATCATCCAGTATTCCCGCTGGCATTGTCTGCTGTGAATGTCGAAGGATCGTCAGAGCACTTCGGGGAAAACAAGGACACCCTGAAGAAGCAGAGCAGAGAGAGAGGGGCTGGCCCCACCTGACCCTTCAGGAGCCCACGAAGGTGCAGAGTAGGCAGTGGCTGTCAGATGGGGCTGTCTGGGAAGCTGGACCACCAAGTTGCTTTGAGACCCTGGAGAAGTCACTTGACACCCCTGGCCTCCATTGCCTCCTCTGTAAATGAAGGACCCAGCCCAGCTGATCCAAAAGGCTGCTGGCAGCTTTTTCAGGCTACGATTCTGGGAGCCTGGGCCAGCAGCACCGCCAGTGGCAGGAGAAGGCCCAGCTACTCACCTGTGACCATAGGGAGCATCACTGGGCTGGTTATCACAACATCCTCATGACAAACCACCCACACTGACGGGAGCCAGGCCCCAGCCAGGCCTCCAACCTCATGGCCTACCCTCATGGCCTATCCCTGGCACCAAGGGAGTAGAGGCCCCAAGGGGGAGCAGATGGCTCCCAGTGTGATGGGGAAATTGGTGGGTCAGGACAAATGGGAAACAGGTAAACTGGGGGCCTTTCAAGATATGAGTCATGGAGGGCTTCCTGCAGGAGGGAGCTGGAAGAACAAATGGGGAGGAGGGGAGGGCCTGGTGATGGGAAGGAGAGTAGAGAGGACAGGCAAGGGTGGGGAGGAGGGAGGCAGGGGGAGCCCCAGGCTGAGCTGGGCTGGACTGGGTTGAAGGAAGGGAGGACCGCGCAGGACCCTGCCAGCAAGAGGCATATGGGAGGCAGAGTTTGAGAGGTGCAGCAGGGCTCAGAGCCCTTCCAGGGTTTCACCGCGAGGCAAAACTGTCCTTAACTGGAGGCAGAAGCCAGCCCACAAAGGGCAGCCGGGATCCCAGGGCCCACAGTGACTCCAGCAACATACAGGAGGCATGTGTCACAGTGGTTAAAAGGTTCTAAACCCAAAGTGCCTGGATTCCAGGCCTGGCTCTGCCACTCGCTAATTTTGTGACCTTGGGCGAGTTCCATCACCTCTGGTTTCCTCATCTGTAAAATGCAGCTTATAATAGTACCCACCCATGGGGGTGTTGCAGGATTTCATGGGTCAAGCGTGTAGAGCAAGGCCTGGCACACAGCAGGGGCCACATGAGCACTCGATGTTGGTCCCATCCCAAAGCACATCCCCAGGTGTCCCCGCAGTCTCATGGCGAGAGTGGTGGGTCAGGACAAAGGAGGAGCAGCTAAACTGAGGGCCTCGGTGCTGGAGGGAAGAGGGGAGTCTTTCAACATGAGTCACAGAGGACTTCCTGCAGGAGGGAGCTGGAAGAACAAATGGGGAGAGCAGAGGCCTGGTGATGGGAAGGAGAGTAGAGAGGACAGGCAGGGTGGGGAGGAGGCAGGGAGAGCCCCAGGCTGAGCTGGGCTGGACAGGGGTGGAGGGAAGGAGAGGACTGCTCAGGCAGGTGTTATCACTCCTAACTTCTAGCTGGGGAAACTGAGGTTCAGAGAGGCTGCGTCGTTGAGAGGATGAGCGCTTAACCACAGTACTAACCAGGCCCTACCCTGCTGAGTTTCCAAGACAAGATGAGACCACGCTTGTCGTGGTGGGAAGGGGGCAGATGGGCCTCTGACACCCCATGTTCCCTGGGATCCCCCCGCCCCAGCCCCAGGCAGGCACGGAGAGCCTGTCGCATGCTTGGCACTCTCACACCCTCATCCCCCTTCCTCTGCCAGCCCTGCCCTGCCCTCGCCTGGAAACCTTTGCTAATTGGCTCCACCTTGCTCTGATCCTATCCTTATCTTACCATCTTCAGTTTTAACAATCAGTCATTGGAGGTGCATTCTGCTGAGTGAGGGCCCTGGGTGGTGTGCACAGATGAGCTGCCACTTCCCAGGGAGTCCCCCGCGGGCTCTTGCTGGTCAGCCCGGGGCCTCAGCCCCCGACTGGTCCACGCCTGACCCATTCACCGCCCTCCTGCTCTCCCAGGTGCAAGCCCTGGAACAGCGCAACCAGCTGCTGGAGACACGCTGGAGCTTCCTGCAGGGCCAGGACTCAGCCATCTTCGACCTCGGGCATCTCTATGAGGAATACCAGGGCCGGCTGCAGGAGGAGCTGCGCAAAGTGAGCCAGGAGCGGGGGCAGCTGGAGGCCAACCTGCTGCAGGTGCTGGAGAAGGTCGAGGAGTTTCGAATCAGGTACACAGAGCCCCATGGGAGCCATGAGCAAGGCCTGAGGGCTGGGAACAAGCTGTCCTAAGACGGGAGGCACTTAAGTCAGAGAAAGAGGGAAGATGTTCTGGAACATTTCTTTACCTGAGACGTTTATTGAGGGACTGGTATGTGCCAGGCAGTATTCTAAATACTGAGGATATGGCTGTGAACCTACAGCCGCCCCCTCCCTAATAGCGACCCTTACAACAAAGTGAATCTTGTGCTGGCTCCCAGCGAACCCCTGCGCCTGCCGGCCCTTGGGCATCATCATAACCCACACCCCTGCCTCGAGCAGCCGCCCCCTTGCACCTGTGGACACACTTGCTCTTGCCCACACATTGCTCTGGCAATGGGAAATTACGTCACTAACTAGAACAGATGGGTTTCTGCTTTAGATGTGGCTTTAGATTTTGATCTGGATTGGGTCGGAAAGGAGAGGAAAGCCATGGGGAAGCAGGCAGGGCATGGAAAGAGTGGGTTTTATTTGAGTAGAGAAGCAATGCACGCCGGACATCAAGGTAGACTTGGAATCAGACAGAAAAGGAAAACAGCCCCAGTATGCAAGGTGCCTTTACAACTGAGGGGGGCAGACAGACAGACAGACAGACAGCTGCTGGGCAGTATATTCGAGCATTTATGGTCCCCCGCTTGGGCATTAGACCAGGATGAGGTTTAATCTTCACCCTCACCCGTCACTAGCTTTGTGACCTCCAGTAAGTGGTTTAATATCTGAACCTCAGTTTCTTCCTGTGTGAAGCGGGAATGATTATGGTCGATGCCAACCTAAGGTAGGTATCTAACCTAAGGAGGAAGTTGAGAGGGTGGCACGGTGACTGGCAGTTATAAATGGCAGCTTTTCTATCCTTAGAACGCTGAAGTTCTCAGCACACAGCAGGTCTTTGACACAGGTTTGCTGAACTGAATGGGCCAGTCTAAAGGGGAAGGCTGGTCACTTGGGCTGCTTAGAAGAGAGGTGACCCTCTCTGGTCAGGTAGTGGGCAGGGCTTCAGCAACACGGAGCCTGAGGCAGAGGAGAGCGGCTGTGCCCCTGCGCCCACCTCCTGGGTCTGGTCTACTTGCAAGGAGACCTCCAGCCAGGGTGAGGCGAGGACAGGGCAGGCTGAACCCCGGCCTCCCCTCCTGCAGTGCTGCCGCCCAGCCCCAAACCCTGCCAATCTGAGGTGAGACCTGCAACCTCCAGAGCAGCTGACCAGGCAGGCTGGAGGGTGGAGAGCACCTGTCCCGTCCGGGAGTCCAGAGACCTGAGCTGTCTGGACTCCAGAGGCTGAGTTTACCCAACACCTCTCCCCAGCCCTGCCCTCCCAGGCCTAGGGAAACACACAGGGCAGCTGACCACCCGCCCCAAGAGGCCCAGCTTCCCAGCACCTGGCCATGACCGGGCAGTCAGGGCAGTTCACTAGAATCTGTGACCCACTTCCCTGATCCCTAGTAGATCTTCGGCCCTCAAAGGATCAGAGAATGCCAGAGCTAGAGGAAGTCCTGGATCCTCCTTTTATAGGGAAGGACACAGACCCAGAGAGGGCAGGGCTTGTCCTCAGTTACACAGCCTTGCATGCTAAGTCCCATCCCTAACCCCAGCCAGCCACTGGGTAAGGCTGCTCCCACGAGCTCCGCCAGATCACGTCCATGGAAGCACTTTGTAACTGGAAGTCCTATACACACACTACCTGTTGTTTTAATCTGGCTCAGCCCCCTCATTTGGCTGCCGCCTGATTTCTATCTGCCTGCTACCTGACTGTACTGCTTAGGCTGAGCCTCTCTTCCTCTCTCTGCGTAGGGAACCCACCCGAGTTGGGAAGGAGAGACTGGGCAAACAGCCTAGCTGGAGGGCTTCTCGGTCTTCAGGCCACAGCCAGGGGAGCTAAAGCCTGGCTGTGCAGAGCCTAGGGCCCCCAGGAGATGCCAGGCCAAGCCCCAGTAGGGAAGGGCTGTGCCCTGTCTCTACAGAGCCGATGAGATCAGCCTCACTCCCAGAAATAAACAAGTTGGGGGGGGGGGGTGCGGTGCAGGTGTGACAAGCTAAAAAAGTCCTGAGAACAGGTTTGGGAATTGGTGGCTGACATACTGGCAGAGGATTGGGAGTGGAATAGCGGACCTAAGCCTCTATGGGGATGGAGACTTCCAAAGGCTTTGAAGTAGCAGAAACCCCAAGGATCAGCAGTCCACCCCTCCTGTTTCCTAAGGACAAAGCAGAGGCCCAGCAAGGGGAAGCAACTTGCCCAAGGCCACACAGCAAGTGACTCAGAGATGCCACATACAGCTGTGCAAACTGTGCGCTGCACAAGAGTACATGATTCAGGCGGTGGATAGGAGTTGAGATCCAGCCAAGCATCAGACCATGCAGGCTGGTACAAGGTCAAACAGCCCGTGAGGAAGGGGGCTTTTTTCTAATTGGCACAAAGCCTGGAGATGAAACAGTGTTGGCCTTAAGGGGACTGGCTCCAGACTGGAACCCATCATCCAGCCTCAGCCCAATGTTCCCCACTGTCCTCTCCCCTGGGGCTCAGGGCTTGCTCCCACCCCACCCACAAAGCACACCTAGAGGTCCACGGTCAAGGCAGACCTGGCCTAGCCAGGATACTGTGAGGACGGCCCCTCCAGTCCCCTTACTCCTGGTGTCCTTCTCTGCCAGGGGAGGTTTCCCAGGGCAGCTGCCAGGCCACTTGTCTCCCTCAACTCACCCTGCTTATGTTCCCGCAGGCAGGGTGAGTGGCAGACAGCCGCCTGTGCTCTGCCGTGAGGCTTCCTGAGGCCGAAGCAGAGGGGCTGAGCCCCAGCAGGTGCTACCCCGCTGCAAGCACTCTGTGAATTGCCCCACTTAATTGTCACAGCATCACGTGATCATGGCTGAGGCACACAGGAACGCACCCCAGGACACAGCTGGTTAGCAAGGAAGCCAGGATTTCAGCCCAAGTAGCCTGGCTCTAGTCCCCTTGCTTCATCAACACACTCCAGGAGCCCCCAGCCCTCTCTTGAGCCTCCATTTCCTCATCTGTAAAATGAAACTAATGGGACTTCCCTAACTGGGTGCTTTGAAGGCCACAGGAGATAGTGCAGGTGAAGCACTCAGCACTTGTCATTCCCCACTCAAGTCCCATTTAGTTCTCTCTGGGAATGCCTAGACAGCAAAACATTCTCCCCAGCCTGCTCCTCTGCCCCGCCCCCAGGACCTATACCATCAGAGCCCCAAACAGACTCTTAGCAGCCAAGGCAGTGGCCAGGGAGGGTGTGGGCCCCTGGCACACTGAGACCAGAAACCCATGTGTCCTGCCGTTGGGTCCACACCCCTCAGCTCCTCGGGTGGGCTGGTGGGAAAGAAGGCATGAGGGGCGCCAGATACAGCCAGCTCAATGGGTGATGAGTGATGTGGCCCTGCTGGGAGGCCAGGGCCTGAGGTAGGCAGGCGGCTGTAATTAGAGCTGCCTGTGATTCAGGCATTCTCCGAATAGGAGAGAAAAAAACAGAAGCTGCTGAATCCCCACGACCACTGGGGCCAGCAAGAAGTCTGGAGCCAGCAGACACCCACCCCGGGGACTAAGACAAATGTCTTGACTGGAGGAAGAGGGTCGGGCCAGGGATCTGGGGGTCCCGTCCTCCCCATCCAGTGATGTCCTTGTTCCAAACACAAGGTGGGAGTGAGTAAGGAGAAGTCCAAACTGAGAAGAGCATTATTGTGCTTTGTTGAGTATGGCCTGTAGCCTGTAGCTGGCTGTCACTGCGTCAGGAGTGGGTTTTGTCAGCCCCCTGTACACGTGGGCACACGCATACCCCTTAGAGGCAGGAAGCCAAGGGAGGAGGGGTGACGCAACTTGCCCAAAAACACACTGGGGGTCCAGCTGACAGCAAAGTTCACACTCTTCCCATCCTCCCTTTGGAGGGAACACAATGGGTTAGTGTCCTACCAGCTCACAAAGCAGAGGGGAGGTGGCTGGGGCTGCAGGGAAGGCATGGAGGTGGGAGAGGTGAGGGGTGAGCAGGATGCTCCCAGCGGACTTGATTGAACCTGACATTGTCAGGGAAGGAGGTCAGGTAAAGATGAGGGGACAAAGTGCCAGGGTGAGGGGCTGCACAATCAGGGAGGCCTCCTGGAGGGGGTTGGGTGTGGAGCAGAGCCAGGACAGGGCAGAAGCCGCTGGGAGAGGACGGGGTCATCAGGAGGGAGTGAGGAACTGGAAACCAATGCCAGGAGGTTGCGGGGGGAGAGACAGAGAGAGGACTTGTCATAGAAGACACAAGAGGGAGAAAGATGGGCTGCTTTTTTCTAACTGGCAAAGAGACCCCAAGTGGCATAGCAGAGGCCCCGAGCCCCAACCAAGGGGAGTTCACCAGGCCCAAGCCCCTACCACATCCAGCTGAGCAACACCTCTCTCCCTCCCAGGTATGAGGATGAGATCTCCAAGCGCACAGACATGGAGTTCACCTTTGTCCAGCTGAAGAAGGTAGCCTGCCCAGCCTGCCCCAGGGGCTCCTTCCCATGGGCCCTGGGCCTTCTTTCCCTCCAGATATCCTATTCTCCTTTATGCCCAATCAAAGCCCTCAGAGTCTTAAGTCCCAGGACCAACAGACAGACAGGGAGATACCCCCATCCCCATCCAGCTCTTTTTTCGAGGCTCTGAGCCAGATCTCCTCTGGAATCACCCCCACTCTCACCCATGAGGCAGTCCCCCCAGCCCACTCCTGCCCGGGGACCCTCCATTCCCTCTCCCACCACTCACCACTGCTCCCAACCCCAGGACCTGGATGCAGAGTGTCTTCGTCGGACTGAACTGGAAACCAAGTTAAAAAGCCTGCAGAGCTTCGTGGAGCTGATGAAAACCATCTATGAGCAGGTGAGTGAGATGGGGCCAGTGTCCCGCCAAGCCCAGAGCTGGCTGGTCCATGGGTAAAGGACTCAGGGGAAGCACAGCCATTCGGTGGGGCATGGAGACATGGAGACTCCAACAGTCACTTACGATTTCCAGGCCTAGCATAATAATTTCCTAAACCCCTTCCTGTGATTATGTCAATAACCCTGCCTGACCCCTGGCCATTCATCTCATGGAACATGGGCCGGTTCCATGAGATGAATACAGAAGAACTGTATCTTTGTGTGCTAGAGTACTGAGGGCATGCGGGAGACCAGGTGCCTCAGACAAGGGTCAGGAGGCTGGCCTCAGGAGCATGGAACCCAGGGGCCTGGAATGAGTATTCTGATTGAACTGATCTCTCTAATTCCTGCAGCCTAAACCACAGCACTCACAGTGCTAGTTCTGATAGGCCTGCCTTTCCCTCTTCCCCATTTTTGGCTAATGACCTAGTAAATGGAGACAATGGAAACATTTGCATTTGTTTCCTAAGTCCTCAGTGGGGCCTAGTGTACAAGGGCCCAGAACAGCGTAGTATGTGTCAGCACAGCCATCAGATGGGCACGGCCGCTGGCTTCGGGACACCGCTCCTCCATGCCAACTGCTGACTCCCAGGCGCCCTTCAGGATAGGAGTCCTCCTCTCCACACCACTTCTTTCAGGGATGGGGAGGTTCAGGGGTGACACTCCTGGGCTAAAGTTCCTTCCACAGAGGTCTTCGGTTCAGCTAGGAGCAGGCAGCACCACTGTTGGGGATAACAGGGCTTGGCCACCTAAGTGCTGCACACTGCTGGTGCCAGGCTATGGCAGTGCAGCTAAGGTCAAGGCCGAGATCAAAGTCACCACCACAACTTACAGATTCTGCTACAATGGCCCTGTGATCTGCTGACCACAGCTTCATGGCTGCATCCTGTGGAAAGGAAGACCGGGCCTCGTGGCCCTGTCATGGGCCACACGCCTTTCCAGCAGTCCCAGCCTCCAGCTGGGGCCTCCGTGGAACTGAGTCTTGTTTGTGGCCACGAGATGTAGCATAGCAGAGAGAACAGCAAACCCTTTGGAGCAGCAGGAAGGCAGCCGTCCCAGGCAATCTGCTCTCCCCACAGCCCTGAAAAGCTTCCTGGCCCTAGCAAATCCCCCCACAGCCAGGCCAAGTGCTGTGGGGCTGACCAGGGCACCATGCCCACTAGCTGGGTGGGAACTGGGCGAGGGGCCCCTCTGCCCAGACTCACTGTGGGCTTGTGCAGCCCGGGCAGGCATCAGCAGGGCCATCTCGCATCTCCACTGGGCTGGATCTCTGCCATCCTTGGGCCTCCACCCACTCGTACTGCCTCTGAGAGGCTGAGCCCATGGGTGGGTGCAGATTCTGCCGAGCCTAGGTGGAGTGCAGATTCTGAAACCTGAGCCCAGCGTTTCTCCACCTGCTCACTGATGTCTTGGCAAGCTCAGAGCTCAAGCTGTAAGCCAGGATGCAGGCCCTGCAGCTGTAGAGAAATAACTGGAAGAAAGCTGGGCATAACCAGTGATATTCCTGAGCGTTGCCCAGTCGTACCCCACAAGACTTCTTGGCCCCCACCCCAGTAGCCAGGCCTGTGGGTTCCCTTTGGATTTTGCAGTCCTTGGGCCGCAATCCCAACTTGGCCTTTTTTTTACTATTTCTGTGACTTTAGGCAAGTCATTTCTCCTCTCTGTACCTTAGTGTCCTTATCCGTAGCATGGAGAGAGTAACAGCACCAGCCTCATAGGGCTGTGAGGAGGACTCAGCCCAGTCATTCATTTAACAAATGATTATTGCATGCCTACTAAGTGCCAGGCACTGATGCCACAGCCTGGGCAAGCTCCCTTCTCTCAAGGAGGGCATGACTTAGCTGAGAGAAGTCATAAGCAAGTCAGCAAATATCTGGACAAGATGGCTTTGCAGGGTGACAGATTCTGGGATGCAAAGACACCGGGTGCTGCACTGGAGCTGGAGACAGATTCTGGGATGCAAAGACACCGGGTGCTGCACTGGAGCTCAGAGCCCATGGGCAGGGCCTCTCAGAGGCGGTACCCTCCCCAAGAGTGGCAGAGATCCAGCCCGGTGCAGACTGGAGATGGCACAGAATTGCTATGCAAAGCCCCTAAGGCAGGAGGGAGCCTGGCGATTAAAGGAAAAGAAAGAAGCCTCCGGTCAGAGCACAGGGCAGGGTGGGAGCCTCGGGTCAGAGAGCGCCTCACAGGCTTGGCTCACGACTCGGACCTCATTCTGAGTGTGACAGGCAGCCTCCAGTGGGCACTGGGGCAGGGTGGCACACAGCGGGTTTCAGGTGTGGTTGTGCTATCCTGAGCCTGCCACGGAGAAGGGCCTGCGGTGAAGGCAGTAGGGGCCAGGGCACAACAGCAGTTAGTATTACTTTTGGGAGCAAAAAGATGGGGTTGAAATTGGAGGTTTGCCTTTCTCTCCATACACTGCTGCAGGCTAAGAGGGCAATGCTGACTCTTTGCCAAAAATATTCCCCACACCAGAGGGTGTCTAACTCAGTGTTGTCTGATAGAAATGTGAACTGCATATGTAATTTTAAGTTTTCTAGTTGCCACATTTTAAAATAACAGAAAAAATAATTTTAATAATATATTTTATTTAGCCCAATATATCCAAAATATAATTATTTCAACATCTACCTCATTGGACAGAGCAGCTCTGAGCAAAGACTGTGCCAGCCACGTCTGCCTCAGGTGGAAGAATACGAGTGGCCCAGGAGGCCCCGATACTCTAGTTTCAGCTTTGGAGCAGACACCAGATCAGAAATATAGGCCCACACCTGTGTCCCAGAAAACAGCCCTCTCCTCTCTCCAAAACACATGTATGTGCGCACATACACATGCACACACACACACACGGCCAGGATACATTCTGAAAAGCCCTTCCCAGCCAACTGAGCAGGGGCTCATGGCCATGATCTGCTCAGACCGCATCTGCTGCAAACCCTCCGCCTCTCTCCTCGGGGGCACAGGCTGGAAGGGTCCCCCGCAGTTTCTGAGACACAGTACAGCTCCCAAGTGTGTTTGGGCCTGGCTGCATCCAGTTGGAATGCCACCTACCCCACCCCTACACTCTGGCTCCAGGGAGATTAGCTGTGGAATCTGCTGACAACCCCCTGCAGCCAGGCACACCTCAAGGGAGGCCCATCCCTGCAGAGAGAAGCCAGTGCTGCCTAAACTTCTGCATGGAGGCTGCCCCAAGACTAGGCTGCTCTGCCTCTGGACACTTCGTCCCAGCTTTATCACTATTACCAATTACCATAATAGAGAATCCTTAACTACTGTTTAGTGAGCACCTAATATATTCCAGACACTGTGCTAAGTACTTTCCAGTCTTAATCTCAGTTAACCCTCACGACGACTCTATGAAGTAGGGATAATAATTAAGACAGCACAGATTTTGAACAGCTGGGATTTGAATCCTGGCTCAGTAACTGTGGGAACTGGAGCAGGCTATTTTATCTCTATATGCCTCAATTTCCCCATCTATAAAATGGGGACAATAATAGCATCTACCTCACTGGGCTGTTGTGAGGATTTTTTTTGTTAGCATATCCTAAAATACTTAGAACAGTAACTGACACATGGTACGCATTCAATAAACATTAGCTGTTTTCAGCTCTATAATTAGATCCATTTTACAGATGAGAAAACCAAGGCTTAGACACATTTAAAAACTTGACCAGGGTTACTCAACTAATAAGAAGGGATTGGCCGGGCGCAGTGGCTCACGCCTGTAATCCCAACACTTTGGGAGGCCGAGGCAGGTGGATCACCTGAGGTCAGGAGTTCAAGACCAGCCTGACCAACATGGTAAAACCCCGTCTCTACTAAAAATACAAAATTAGCTAGGCATGGTGGTGCATGCCTATAATCCCAGCTACTTGGGAGGCTAAGGCAGGAGAATTGCTTTAACCCAAGAGGCGGAGGTTGCAGTGAGCCAAGATTGCACCATTGCACTGCAGCCTGGGCAACAAGAGTGAAACTCCGTCTCAAAAAAAAAAAAAAAAAAAGAAGTGATGGTATTCAGTGTCCAGAGCCATTAGCGCTACATTTTACTCTCCAACACTGTTACTCCATAAGAGTCACGATCTACCCTGACGTGGGGAACACAGTGAGGGTGCTCACACGCACAGCAGCCTCCTAAGGGAAGCCCTGAACTGGACTTTGGCTTCATTCTTAACCATTTGGAGGCTCACGTGCTCTCCAGGGGGCCCATCCCATGGGGCACCTCCACACCACACAGCCAGCATTGTCATACTCTCTGCAGCCCGGCAGGGGCCTGCATGTCTGAACAGGTCTGTGGATGTTCTGAATGCTCCATTTCCTGCTTTTGTTTACCAAGCTCCTGCTTAGCCTGCCTCATTCCAGAAAATGTCTGGCCAGTCTTTTCACCCTGACTGGGAAGTCCTACTATAGTGCGTCCTCACAGTGCGCTGGCCTTTCCTGGGGCCATAACGAATGCCAAGTTAGGCCCTCGTGTAGAAGCACACTGGAGGGCTCTATCTAGGTCCCCACCCCCACTGATGCCCACAATGTGTCAACCAAAACAGCCTCAAAGCTGCAACTCTGAAACTGTCCCCAGCCAAGCCCCAGCCAGGGTGCTGGTGCCACATGGGAAATGTCGGCTAGTGACTGGGGCAGGAGAGGTGGGGCCATGGTAACAATTGATCTTACTCTGGCACGGGTTGAGCCTGCTTTTCCCAGAGATTTATATTTTCATCTGAAGATCAACCAAAACCCCCAGCAGGAGACACGCAAGGGCAGCTGGCCACTGAGCTCAGGGTCCTGCCAGCTCCAGGGCAGAGATAGGCTGTCCCCAAGAGGGGCTTCCGAATGCCTGCCACTTCCACACCATCCTTGTCACCACGAGGTGCTGGTGGGCAGAGTCAGTTCCCAGACAGGCCTTTGTGGCTGCCCACACAGCCCTAGCTGGCCCCTCATCCCTGTTGTCTACAGTTCAGAAGTCCAGCCTCTGCCTGAGACAGAAACCAAAGGCCTCAGCACAAACTCTCTGAGCAGAAAGAGGGACAGAGGATCAGGAGGGAGCCCAGAGTTAAGAACCAGGATCAGAACACAGTCAGGAGCTAAAAAGCTGAGCCTGGATCCCAGCAGGCATCTAGGTGCACCAGCCAGTTTTCAGGAAATATTGGGGCTAGAAGAGCACATTGAACATTGGCACAGGGTACAACAATCAAACCCAGCTGTGGGGACTCCGCAAGGCAGACAGCCAGTGTGTTCAATAAGAACAATGGCAAAGAACAAAAAAGAGAGAAATGGAGATTACAAGAGACCTAGAGACATATGGACCAACTGCAGTGTACAGGCCTTGTTTGGATCTTGATTCAAACAAACACGTTTAAAAAATTATGAGGCGGTGAGCAAAATGGGAACGCTGACTGAAATTTGATGATTGAAATAGGGGTCGGGGTGGACTGTAAATGCCAGAAGGAGCACGATGTGTCTGCGCCCAACACCCACCTCCTGCCTGGCCCCCTCCCCGCCATCAATTCACTCGGCACAATGCTCGGTTGACTCCCCTTGCTCCTCCTTCCCACAGGGAGGCCCTACCCTTTTCAGCATCTCCAGGGTAAGCAACCCAGGGCCCTTTGCAGCCTCTAGAGATCCCTGGTCCCACCTGCCTCCCTACACACCCCTGAGCATTCTGGCTAGAAAGCTGCAAGGCTGTGGCCAGGAGAGAAAGCTGGTCTGGGGCCAGAAAGACAATGAAGAAGGTGTCAGCCCCTTGTCTCCATACGCTAAAGGAGCGTCACAGCAGCAACAGCAGCAGTTGCTCTGGGGTCCACCCTGCCACTCACCGCTGTCTCCACAACATCTTTGTGCCTCAGTTTCCTCCTCTGGGGCCGCAGCGGTGCCAGCCTGGTGAGGACGTGTGGAAAGCGCTCAGCACACAGTCCAGCCTGTAGGGAATTCCTCGGGGAATGGTGGGTTTTACCATTTCCAGAAGTCTCCAGGGATAGGGAGGAGATGGTGAAAATATTGTGGTCGTCCAGGCAATGTCCCTTGGCTAGAGAGGGAGCGGGCAGTGAGTCTCCAGGGCGACCCTGAAGTCAGCACCGGAAGCTGCGCCCAGGCCCCTCACAGGCTGTTGGCTTTCAGTGGGGCCGGGAAAGGGGAGTACAGGTTTGTCAGCCTCCAGCCCTCCCCAACCCTGGTCACTCACTTGCTTCCCTCCCAACATTTACCAAATGAACTGAGGCACTCCTTTCCCAGACACAGGGACTCAGAGATGAACACGGCTCTGCCAGGCTCACAGGGAGCTCCTTGCCCAGTGGGAGAGGCAGAGCTGCACCCCACAGCACAGGAATAATGGAACAGTGAACAGAGGGGCCCAACTCACAGCCCCAGAGCCTGACTTCTCGGGCCCTTTCCCATCAGCCAGGAGGAGGCTATCCCTCCTGGGGAGAGGGCAGCAGGGCGGGCAGTGGGGAAGCTTGCGGGGTAGCTTTTAGAACCTACAGTCCCAGCCTGCCCTCCACTCAGAGAGGAGGACCGTGGGTGGGTGAGCAGTGGGCAGTGAGCTGCCTTCTGAGAGTCCTGGCTGGGGAGACATAGCAGGGAGGCATTCGGTCTTCCATCATCTCTCCAGAGGGACAGGAAGGGAGCAGCTCCACTCCCTGCTCACCCCGGGGACAAAGGGACTGTGTGGGACTGAGGGTCCTTGTGCCCTCCCCACCAGCCCTGAGCCCCCACACCTGTGCCCGGCCAGGAGCTGAAGGATCTGGCAGCACAGGTGAAGGATGTGTCGGTGACCGTTGGCATGGACAGCCGCTGCCACATCGACCTGAGCGGCATCGTGGAGGAGGTGAAGGCCCAGTATGACGCCGTCGCAGCTCGCAGCCTGGAGGAGGCCGAGGCATACTCTCGGAGCCAGGTGGGGCTGACCATGCAGGTCAGGAGAAGCAGCCTGGACAGCTCTCCAGGTGGCAGGAAGGGCTGGACTGGTGATGGCTGAGGTTGCCTGCAGCTCTCTGTCCTGAGAGTCTATGAGAGAGGAATGGAGAAGCACAGGGGCGGGCGGGCGGGGGGAGACCACAGAAGCTGGTCTGTGCCCTCCAGGAGTTCGAGGTGGTGCTGTTATCAGCAATGCCAGGCCAGATGTGGGCATGGGGCTCAGCTAGGGCAGCCAGGAGGAGGCCACCTAGAAAGTGAGGTGGTAGGGGAAGCAGAGGGAGCCTGGCGTGGCGTGGTGGGCTGCAGAGTTGGAGATGGGACTGGGGGGTGCAAGAAAAAGCAGAGGCAGGTAACGGGTGCTGGGAATGGCACTGAGCTGCCCCTCACTGAGACCTCCACGTACCTCCAGCTGGAGGAGCAGGTCGCCCGCTCGGCCGAGTATGGGAGCAGCCTCCAGAGCAGCCGCAGCGAGATCGCGGACCTCAATGTACGCATCCAGAAGCTGCGGTCCCAGATCCTCTCTGTCAAGAGCCATGTGAGTATCTGGGGGACGTGCCTAGGGGTGGGGAGGAGAGCAGGGAGACACAGTCCTGTGTGCTGAATGACCCTGGGTGAGTCGCTTAGCGCCTCTGTGCCTCAGTTTCCTAATCTGTCAAATGGGTTAATAGTACAGCCTCCTAAAGTAATTATGAGGATCGTGTGAGCTCCGCATACAAAAATACTCTATAAACTGATCAAGGCTGCTGGAACGTTAGAAACCCCCACACCACGCACACCCAGAGCCCACTGCCTCCCTCCTAGGAGCCCCCCACCAACTACACAGAGAGGAGGGAGTAGAGGCCTAAGTCCCAGCTTCCAGTCAGGACAAACCTTCAGGGCAGGTGCTGCCCCATAAGGACAGCCAGAACAGGCTCCTTTAGTGCCTTGTGGTGCTCTCTGCTGGCCTTGGGAAGGTGCCTCTTCGGGTCGAACTAAACTCCCTCTTGCTGCATGGCAACCAGTTACCACACCCAGAAATGCCATTGCTCAGCCCTCCCTCCCCACACCCAACCCCACCAAGGACAGAGATGACTCCTGGCCGTGGCCTGCTCCTCCTTCCCCTGCTCACAGGCCCTTTCCCTCTGTCCTCCTGGCTGCAGTGCCTGAAACTGGAGGAGAACATCAAGGCAGCTGAGGAGCAGGGTGAGCTGGCCTTCCAGGACGCCAAGACCAAGCTGGCCCAGCTGGAGGCCGCCCTGCAGCAGGCCAAGCAGGACATGGCGCGGCAGCTGCGCAAGTACCAGGAGCTGATGAATGTCAAGCTGGCCCTGGACATTGAGATCGCCACCTACAGGAAGCTGGTGGAGGGCGAGGAGGGCAGGTGAGAGCCAGGGCTGGTGAGGAAGGGCTGGAGGGGAAGGAGGGCTGGAGGCCCAGGCCTACACAAAGTCACTTCTCCTTTCCAACATGATACAGTGAGCCTGGCAGGCCTGGGTTTAAGTCCTGGCTCAGTCACTTACAAACTGGGACCTTGGCCCAGTTCATTTCATCCTGTTTTCCCATCTGGAAAGTGGGCTGATCATAAACATGGTTCACCTGTGGCAGGGATGATTTATGTGATTATGCAGGCAAATGCCTGTCAAAACTCAGTGCTCAGTGCTATTAGCCATTTATGCCATGGAGAGGGGCCAGAAGTCCACAGAGAACAAGCTGGCTAGCCAGGGCCACACAGCAGAACAACCCCAGGGCTGGGAGTGACCACCAAGAACTACCCTCCACTTGCCAGCCCCCAGGGCAGTCTAAGCCACAGGCTCCCTTCACATCCCATCATATCCCTCTCCCACCCCCCACCCCTCACCCCCAGGATGGACTTGCCCTCAGCCACTGTGGTCAGCGCTGTGCAGTCCAGGTGCAAAACCGGTGAGTCCTCTTGCCCTGAGAACCCATGGTGGGGCGGGGGTGAGGGTGTAGGGGATCATGATCCTAAAGGCATCATTTTAAGTGGCTCCCAAACCTCCAGCCCCTTCCCTCCCCTACCCCTTATGTTCCCTGTAGCTGCCTCCAGGTCAGGCCTCTCCAAGGCCCCCTCCCGAAAGAAGAAGGGCAGCAAAGGCCCCGTGATCCAAATCACCGAAATGTCAGAGAAGTACTTCTCACAGGAGTCGGAGGTCTCAGAGTGAGGCGACGGGACCCCAGGACCCCCAGGGCACTCCACTGCAGCAGAAGGAACTTAAGCTAGACTCAAGAAAGCAGCTTGGAGCCTCTAGGTTGGGAGGAGAGGCAAAATCTGATACTGAACTGAGAGGGGGGGTTCAAAACTGACTGCTGTTTTGTGGGCTGCCAGGGTGGGAGAGGAGCATCAGCAGCTGCTCAGAGCCACTCCGCTCCGTATCAGTATCTCACAGTCCCGTCCTTCCAACCTTCTGGCCAGAGGTTTTCCTGATGGGTGAGCTGGAATTAGGGGTCAGTTTTGTCTCCACCTCCTTGTTCCTCCGAGGCCCCTCCTCCAGCACTGGGCTCTGCCAAGGCCCTTCTGAGTCTTGCCCAGTCCTTGACTTTGACTCCTATCTCAAGCCTTGCCTTGCTTCTGCCTTGGAACTGAGACTGGGACCGGCTCATCCACCTATGGGCGGGAGCCGAGGAGGACGGTGTGGGCCCTGTCCTGTATCTGGAGTTCCTGGGAAGCCTGGCTGCTGAAGACCCTCTTGGCTTTCCCATGCTCCTTGGGCTCCCCAGAGACCCGACAGTATTATGGAGTGAAGGGAGGAGGGGCCCTGGGTGTTGGGGACCTAAGCCTAGGCCCCAGAGATCAGCCCGAACACCTGCACCCCTCCCTCCTCCTATGGGTCCCTCCCAGTAGGCCACAGTCAGAACTGGACAGGCTGCCCCCAACCAGCTCCTAGCACCTTCTCCGGAAGCTATTCTTGCCATAATCAGCTCCCTGGGAGTGGAAGCCAGATGGCAGCTTGAGATTAGGCAGGAGCATTAGATCTTCCTTTCACCTCCCTGCCATACTGGCGTCCTACCAGTCCGGGATCTGAGCTCTCTGCCCCCAGCCCAGGTTGTTCCCAGCCTAAACACCTGGTTTTGGTGCACCTAGCCCTGAAGACCCCTGGTCCCACCCCTGCCATGAAGCCCCAGGTCTACTTCCCAGGAATCTCACTTCTCAGGGCCTCTGTTCTCCTCTCCATTGGGCCAAATAGCCTTGCCCTCCCCTCCTCGGCATTCATGGAGGAGCCCAGGAACTCCCCACACCTATGGAGTTAGAGCTCCTCCTTTCTTCTCACCCTGTCCCCCTCCTCCCTCCATGCCCATTCCCCCTGCCTCTGGCCGGCCAGCAAGAAGGCACAGTCCAGGCAAGTCTGGGAGCTTCCAAGCCCTTGAGGTCCAGCTGTGGGGCCTGAATGACAGCCTTACAAGGGCTCTACCAGAGAGGAAAATTCCACACTCCACCAGAAAACGGGGGTGCTGGCAGGCATACTCCTGTCTCCCCCTCTTGGCTCTCAATGCTGAGGCTTGCAGAGGCATCCCAGTGGCACCAGCCTCCCACTGCACAGCTTCCTTCCCTCCTTCTCTCTCATCTCCCCTCCCTGCCCCTCGCCTCACCTCCTCTTCTAAACTGCATTAGATTCATTCATCTCATTTTCCAGGACATGCTGGCCAGAGGTCGGGGCCCCCAGGCCTCAAGGCCCTCCAGGCCTGTGGGGAGCACTGGCGGGTTACTGACTCTCCGGCCATGGGAACTCAGATATTCTCATCCCCGAAGTCCCAAAAGAGGGTGCTGATTGGTGCTTTCCCTCAGGCTCTTCATTGGTTTCCAAGGGAGCAAATCCTCAGTGGGGATACAAGATATATAAAGTATATATTATTTTTTCATAACTTATGTGGCTTTTAACTTATTGCTTCCCTTCCTGTTTCTGCATGATCAGTCTGTATGTACTATCTGGATAGATAGCACACGCTCCAGCCACCTCACCTGATTGGCTATCTTGGGGCCATGTCCCCTTCTCGCTGCCACAGGATGAATAAAGTGTTGAGATTTGTCTATGGAGAAAGCTGTATGTCTGTTTTTTATCTCCCCTCTCAGGACCGGTCAGCCACTGGTCAATCAGGCTGACCATGGAACACTAGGAATTCTCCAATTAAGGGAGAAAAAGTCCAGGGACCTAGTTATATCTTCAGACCAGTGCAGCTTGGACACACAAAGGTCTCGTGTCTCACCATCTGGTATGGTTTGGATGCTCGTCCCCTCCAAGTCTCATGTTGAAATGTAATTCCCAGTGTTGGAAGTGGGGCCTGGTGGGAAGTACTTGGATCATGAGAGAGGATCCTTCATGAATGGCTCAGCACCATCCGCTTGGTGATGAGTGAGTTCTCACTCAATCCACGTAGATGTGGTTGTTTAAAAGAGTCTGAGACCTCTCCCCTCTTTCTCGCCATGTGATATGCCTGCTGCCCCTTCACCTTCCGCCTTTACTGTAAGCTTCCGGAGGCCCTCACCAGAAGCGGAGCAAATGTTGGTGCCATGCCAGTACAGCCTGCAGAACTGTGAGCCAAAATAAATGTCTTTTCTTTATAAATTACTGAGCCTCAGGGATTTCTTTCTTTCTTTCTTTCTTTTTTTTTTTTTTTATGTGTGTGTGTCTGTGTGTGAGACAGAATCTTGCTCTATCATCTAGGCTGGAGTGCAAGTGACGGGATCTCAGCTCACTACAACCTCCGCCTCCCGGGTTCAAGCAATTCTCCTGCCTCAGCCTCCCGAGTAGCTGGGATTACAGGCACCCACCACCATGCCCGGCTAATTTTTTTTTTTTTTTTTTTTTTTTTTTTTTTTTTTGAGACGGAGTCTCACTCTGTCGCCCAGGCTGGAGTGCAGTGGCCGGATCTCAGCTCACTGAAAGCTCCGCCTCCCGGGTTCACGCCATTCTCCTGCCTCAGCCTCCCGAGTAGCTGGGACTACAGGCGCCCGCCGCCTCGCCCGGCTAGTTTTTTGTATTTTTTAGTAGAGACGGGGTTTCACCGTGTTAGCCAGGATGGTCTCGATCTCCTGACCTCGTGATCCGCCCGTCTCGGCCTCCCAAAGTGCTGGGATTACAGGCTTGAGCCACCGCGCCCGGCCGCCTGGCTAATTTTTTGTATTTTTAGTAGAGATGGCGTTTCACCATGTTGGTCAGGCTGGTCTCGAACTCCTGACCTCAAATGATCTGCCCTCCTCAGCCTCCTGAAGTACTGGGATTACAGGCGTGAGCCACCACGCTCAGCCAGGGATTTCTTTATAGTGTGTTTAAGAACACACTATAAGCACAGCCAGGCCCCTAGGCTGACTAATACACTGTCCTGCCCCGAGACTACACCAATGTTGACCTATGTTCCCAGTGCCTCTTGACATATCCAGGCACCACACAGGCTGCTTTAGCCAACACACAACACAACACACATGCCAGGGATTCCCCAGTGGTGGCAGGTTTTCTTCTTAAGCACTTCTGCCCTACTGGGAATTGACACAGCCCAGAATGTATTCTGATGGGTATGGGCCCAATCCTGCCAAATCAAATCCCAAGTCAACGCATAAGGATTGAGGACCTCCTCCAAGCCCAGCCTTGTGCTAAGACTCCTCCAAGACAAGGGTCCACCCCTTCACCGCAAGAAGTTCACAGTCAGGCTGAGAGATGAGATATCCACCCAAGGTAGCCACCCTGGACTTCCTCGCCACATGCAGAAGTGGATGCTATCAAAGGTCAGGGAAGAGAAGGATTTGTGGAGGGAATCAGGGAATCAGAACAGGCTGCTTAGAGGAAGGGGGACTTCAAGTGAACACAAAGGAACTCAGTTAGGAGACAGACCAAAGGAGGAACAGGTGTCTCAAAGGAAAGGAATAGCGGGAAGGGACGTGGAAGCATTTGTGTCCTGGCCCACCCACTCACCAGCAAGGAGACTTCAGGCAAATAGAGCATTGCTGTCCTCATCTGTAAAATGGGGCACACCCCTTCCCTACTTAACTCACAGGGTGCTTGGGCATTTGATGAGGTGGCTATGTTTATTCCTTTCAGGAAAGCCACATCTCTTGCTTCCGGCACTCTGAACTATAATAGCTCAACAATTGTAAAGGCTTATTAGTGATGGTGTGATTATTACAGCAGACATTAAGGATTAAAGGTGACCAACTAATCAGGAGACTCAAATGCAAGCAAATAGACCTCATGCCGGCTCAGCGCACAGCACAGCCAGGCCCCTGGGCTAAAGTTCAGAGGCTTGAGTTTATCCATTCCCCTGAAGACCCTGAAGGGCAGGCTCCACTCTCAAAACTCAGAAGAGACTGATAAGCCACATAACTGTCCAAGAGAGGCCTAGAGCTGAGACCAGCTCTCTCATTTTATCTTTGTTTTCTATTTTATTAATTTCTGAATTGGAATTTGAATTTCTGAATATGAATATGAATTTCATAGCCAAGAATTTCATGAGGCCAGGAGGTGATGGCTATGCCTAAAATCCCAGCAATCCCAGGTGGCAAGCGCCTGTAGTCCTAGCTACCTGGGAGGCTGAGGCAAAAGGATCACTTGAGCCCAGGGATTGGAGGCTGCAGTGAGCTATGATCACGCCCATTGCACTCCAGCCTGGGCAACACAGTGAGACCCCATCTCAAAAAAATTTTTAAAAAGAAATAAATAAAAGAATTAGATGACATATTTGTTATTTCCTTCCTATTTTCTTTGAGTTTATTATTTTTATTGCTTTTCAGCTTCTTGAGTTAAATGCTTTAATTTTCTATCATCTTTTTAAATATAAGATGCTTTGAAGACCATATATTTTCCTCTAAGTATCATTTGACTGCTTCCAGTCATTTTCATTTGTAGAATTTTTATTGTAGAGTTAAAACGACTTGATTCTTTGACTCATAAGTTTTAAGAAACTTACGACCCACCCATGGGTCCTGCATTTCACAAACATTTACTGAACACATACTTAGCCTGTGACTGGCCCTGCTCTGGACACACAGGGGACATTAAATTCATCCAACATTTCTCTCTGTGTCCTTGACTCCCCACTCCTCTACTTAAGCAGTGCTTCAGTCACCTGCTTTTGTGACTTTTATCCTCAGAAGACTCTAAACTCCTTGAGGGCAAAGATCATGTCCTACTGCCTTCCCAAGGCTTTACACAGTGCCTGCCACGTAGTAGGTGTTCAATAAATGCAAAATGAATGAAGGGATGAATGAGCAATGTCCCTCCGCAGCCAAGACCTCCAGCCTAAAAGTCCTACGAAGGTGAGGACACATCTTCTTGACCTTTGGATCCCAGGTGCTGGTGCAATGCCTGGACACTGAAGGAACAGAGTGAGAGTGTGCAGGATGAATGAACAGACGGGAGAAAACAAGGGCTTCCCTACCCAAACAAGGAAACGCTCCTGCCCCTTTCAGGCTAGCAAAACCTAAACCGTTTCCGACAGGCAGAGTCTGATCCCCCTTCGCATACAAAACTACCTCCTCTCTCCTCCTTCCCACTCCTGCCCTCCTCAGTTGTTCAGTGAACCCCTGGCCAACAGCGCCAGCCTTCCTCTGGCTGCAACGATAAGCCCCTGCACAGGTCTGGCTCTTTCTCCTGCCATCAGTGAGACTCAGAGTGGCCAAGCACTGTAACTCTGGTCACCAGGCAGGCGAAAGGAAGCCCTGTGGTTGCCTGGAACGGTTTCTTACCTGCAGACTGCCTCCCATAGGGGCAGAAAAAGTGATCTAACCTAAGAGTTGGTGAGGCAGAGACTGAAACACAACATGTAGGCGGGTTCAAGCAGGCACCCAAGAGGTGGTGCCCAGCCCAACTCCCCAGGCTCAGCCTAGATCAGAACTCAGAGGCCTTGTGCCAGGACTGGCAAGTCAGTGCCCTGGTGGCTCTAGGGAAACCTCCGAGAAAGACCCAGGACCAGAGCCCAAGGCAGGCCCTGTGTGCTGCAGACTGACTGCACACGCCCCTCCTGCACCTTCTCCTCCTCTCTTCAGGCCTGAGGGAAAATAGCTGGGGGCTGGGATGCGGGCAGGGAAAGTTGTCCTCGTCCTCCAGAGCTGATGAGGGAGACCCACACAGAAGCAGAGAGACAGACACAACCAGAGCCGCCTGGGCAGAGCTCCAGACCTCAAAACAGGGGCCTGCAGAACAGCTGGGGAAGTTAGTCAAAGAGGGCTTCCTGGAGGAGGGGAGGAGGCTGCTGGGAAGGAGGGGTGATGGGGCTAGCAAAGAAGAAGGGAATGGAAACAACCCAAGGGAGGGAAGTGGAAGGGATTTGCTCAGTCTTCAGTCTGGGGCTGTGAGTTACCAGACAGGAGCAGGGAAGACCTGAGTTGAGAATGAGGAAAACTTGGGAGCACACGTTGTAATTTGGGGTGACCCCTGAAGCCCCCACAAGGTGTAAGTCAACTGGTGCAGGGACTGCATCTTACTCAGCCGTGCCCCCCAATGTCTGGTAATGCACTAAGCATGCAGTCGGCACTTACTAAATGCTGGCTACATGCAGAGGCCTAAGTGGCCGGGGGCTGCAGCTGCGGAGGGATGAGAGGTGGGTCCATGGCAAGGATGTTTCGAGCACCTACTCTGCGCTCCGCCCTGTGGTCGGCACAGTGGGGCAGAAGGAAGGAATAAAGGGTGAAATGGGGTCCTTGCCCTCAAGCGCCTCTGAACTGATGTGGGGTAGCCAGGATCTGGCCCAGGGCTCCCTGTTGTACCCAAGTCCCTCCAGTTTTGGTCAGCCCTGTGCTGTGTGGGACCTGGGGCAAGGCATGTCCCTCTCTGGAGTTTCCTTCATCTGTAAATGAAGATGTTAGACTGAGTGACCCCACAGATCCCTTCTACACCAATACCATGAAATTCTGTTCAGCCTCCCTACCCACCTCAATTCCTTAGGCGGTCCCTGCCCAGGAGGTAGCAGTGATCATCATTGAGACCATGGTCTGTAGAGCAAACCCTGGTTCCAGCTGTGTGGTCTTGGACAGCCTCCAGGAGGTAAACAGCATCTGTCTGCTTCCTAGGTTTGTTGTGAAGCTTTAAAGCGATGATACATGATAAAAGAATTTAGCGGCCTGTGCAGTGGCTCACACCTGTAATCCCAGCACTTTAGGAGGCCAAGGCGGGCAGATCACTTGAGGTCAGGAGCTCAAGACCAGCCTGGCCAATATGGTGAAACCCCGTCTCTACTAAAAGTACAAAAATCAGCCGAGCATAGTGGCGTACGCATGTAGTCCCAGCTACTTGAGAGGCTGAGGGGGGAGAATCGCTTGAACCCGGGAGGCGGAGGTTGCAGTGAGCCGAGACTGCACCATTGCACTCCAGCCTGGTTGACAGAGCCAGACTCTGTCTCAAAAAAAAAAAAAAAAAAAAGAATTTAGCACAGTGCCTGGCACATGGTAAGTGCTTAATAATAACAAAATAATAAGCACACTAAATAAACTTTGAGAGACTTTCCCCTTTTCCCGTTATCCCGAGTCGGGTTGGAATCAGCCTGGCCCAGGGGGCTTGACTTGAAGTGATCAGGCAAGTGTCCACACAGTCGGCCATCCCCACCTTCCCCGTTCCCCACAGGAGAGGCCAGGGCTCCA